TTTTCCTAAGATCCCATCCCAGAAAGTGAYGCTTTGCAGAAGAGCCCGGCTGCAGTCCTTCCTGGCTGGCCTTTGGCAGTCTCTGTACGAAAGCAGGCAGCTCTTGCAGTTTCCTTATCAAAAGAAAATGATAGAGTTAACCTTAGCTCTGCCAACTGCTGAACTCAGCCTTGTCATGCTCTGAAAGYTTCTGTATTTCCATATTAAAAGCAAACCTGAGATGAGCAGAAGGAATCACAGATATAAAACACAGGAGGTTATGACCAGGCCATGGAAATCTATTTCTAAGAAAACACATCTAGTTCATGAAAGACGGTTATTGTCCAGAGACACCTTTAGTGTTTAATTTTAACTGGCACTCTATGTGTGGCAAGGGATGCAACAAAAGAAACTCCAAGAAATGACAGGGTTGGTGCTGGCAGGCATTTATTCTGGGTCATTTCTAAGAATGTGTCAGCTTCTTTAACACATCTGACCTTTGCAATGAAGTGGTGTAAAACACAGTGTACCTACTCTACATGCATTAAAATGCGCTTACTATATTTCAAATGTCCAGAACATTCATTATTTGACTCAAGCTCAAATCCAGGAGATCTCTGGAGCTGTAAAGGAAACACTGACTCTCAATACGCTCTCTAGAATAGAAATTTATGTATATATACACATGGATATATGTAAGTTAACTTCAGCAGGAAAGCCTAGATTTATACTGTTGCTGCTGAACCAGAATTTGTTTTCCCTCTAATAGATGCACAACAAAATGCAATAAGGTCAGTCTGCAACTGTTTTATGGTACAAATAACACAAAGAGAACATGGTAAGAAAACAAAAAACGAGTATCAGATCACACTTGCTGACTGCATAGCCCTATGCTGGTATTTGTCAGTTCCAAATGTTTTTAAAAATGCTTTTACGCTTACAAGGAATAAAAACAACACAGGGAACCTGCTGAAAAGTGGATTTCTTCCTAACGTCGTCTACGTACTACATGTCTGAAACTAGAGGCCATGATAAAAATGTTCTGCTTGTAATTGTGGGTGCTCCCATTCCCATAAGAACACTGATCCCTCTACCGAGTCCTTGAAGGTTTTCAACCATGAGGGAATTCTGTAGCAACACACTGAGCAGGAGAATAATGTGTTGTGTAAGAAAGCATTTCCTTCCACAAATGTTATCTGCAATGCCTTCAGATTTCATTGAACTCCTCCCTACTCTTAAAATGGCATCGATTCATTAGAAATTTCCAGTTTATATTTTAAATTTTATTTATTTTATATATTCCATCACGCTCTCTCTTGTTTAATTCCTTTCTGAAGTAAAGAAGTCAGTCTTCTTCGGGAAAAATGTCACAGCTACTCACACAAAATATTACTGGAGTAATCTGACAATTGCAACTAAAAGTGCCCTTGGAAATTTCAAATCTCATTCCACATTTTATAATTAGGCTACATTCGATTAAAATCACTGATATTGCAAGATGTAGTAATAGTTCTGGGGTAAGACACTTTAAAATTGTGTGCTCATTCAGAAGTAGATTGCTAACTGATTTTTTGATTGAGTAAACTTTATCTTGCCTAATAAAATCAAACTTCCTTGCTGGGATTGAAGAGAAGAATACACAAGCACTGAAACTTTTTACATAATGTATTTTCACTTCATTATATTTGGTAATAAATCTTGGCTCTTCCCYTGCAGTTAATATTTATAACCTTATCAAAAAAAAAAAGAGGAATTTGATGGCCTGCTTTTGAAGAGAAACCTTGCTTTTTAATGCCTGTCTCCTCATTTCTGGATTCCAATGGCTTCTAAATAAGCAAAACCAGATTGAGACTCCTTTCTCACTGYACCAGCATTAAAAGGGAAGCCATTATATCTAGTGGACTTGTTGTTTCAGTTTCTTCATAATGAGACAGCAGCTTGAGGATACAAGCATTAAAGGTAGAATAAGAGAACATTGGCTTGAGAGCAATCTATTTGTATCTTGTCCCTACAATAGAGTGGTAGATGGTGCAATTAATGTTTACAGCTTAAATTGCTAGGAGAAAGGACAACCTGCAAGTGTGAAAAATTACTAATTATAACATTTAAAATAGAAGCAGCAATGGAAATGTCAACAATCTGACTGGGACATCAGAAATTTTCACAGGGATGAATAGGGAATATTTCAATGCAGACTAGTAGAGAAGCCTTGGGTCATTTTTCAAGGCTTGTAGAATTTCTCAAGGAGTTTCAAATAGTCATTTTTCTTCAATCCCTTAAATTACTRTCAAACCTACTGTGGTCTTTCTAATGGTTTCCAAGAGCTTTGCATAGCGTTTGTTGTCATGAGACCATAAGCACAAAGATAATCTAGTCTAAGTCTTGCTGAAATCATGAGAATTGGGCATTTACATGTCACTGTTGATCTGAATCTCTGGACTTGGGCATGATAAAAAAGTGTGTATTGATCCACTGATTTTCTGGAAAAGACAGTTTTTCTGGAGGAGATGGGGCTATACCAGCTGAATATCATCCATATAACTGGTCAATAGTTCTCTAACACAGCCACAATCTTCCAGTTGGCTGATCTAGTCCCTGACCAGTTACAAGCCATGAAAGAGAGAAGAGTTAGGAAATGGCAAATTTGATAGTATGAGAAATTTCGGTTTATTAGTCATACTGGATGAAGATCAAGTTTTTTTTTTTTTTTTAAAGAAAAACACCATCAGTGTAGCATAAAAATAAATGAGTGCATTTTTAGACATTCCTTCAGAGGAAATATGGCTTATTTATGAGTTTAGAGGCAAAAAGGCAGTGAAAAGTTACATATGTGTAAAGATGGAGGAGAAACTACAGTCAGTAAGAACAAATTAACCTGGGGATAGAAAAATGATTAGGTACTAAAAGGATCTGTAAGTGTCTTTGTTAACCATGTTATTTTACTTTTCATTGCTAGCTGACAATAAAGATAAGTTATTAAAAATAAAACCAAAGAAAATATGCCTAATATGGTTCCCCTGTTAAATATTATTAGGCATCTACACACTTGAAATAAATACCACAGTTAGGGTTAAATCCTCCAGATAACAAGAAACAGGTTCTCTACAAGACCACTTCAGAGATGTCATCCCATTTTCAAAGCACAAGGGCAGGTCCTAGCTTTCCAGCATGTCTGTGTTGCAGTGGAGCTGTAATGTGCTTTTTCTCTGTGCCATTGGTTTGCCCTATAAAAGTGGAAATTGCAACTGCAGTTCTTCCCAAATATAAGTGGCTTCAGCCCCCTAAGCAGGGAGCCTGCACTGGGCCACAGGTTCTTTCTTTGCACCCCAGGCCTGGAGGAATAAGAGCAAGGACTGCAAGTTACAGCCCCTGAATAACACAGCAGAGAGCTGCATTGCACACTAAGACATTTAAAGTCATGTATTTTCATCTATACTGAGGCAAAGGTTGCTTTCCCTGATAGGATGCAACTCAGCACCATTTCTAACCCCCATCCCCTTATAGGTTCAGTCGAAGCCTTCACTGAGAAGTTGCCAGGAACATTTTGCCCATTTCAGCTTTTACATGCCTTTTCTTTTCTTTTTTTTTTTTTTTTTTCTTTTCTTTTTTTTTTTTTGCAAGCTGAAAGAAGGATAGTTACTCTGCACGTGGGTGCAACTTGTCAGGTGACCAGATGAGTTATTTTTGGGTGAGGAACAGATAAAATCTCTCGCAGACAATTTTATACTAACGACATATGCAACCTCTTGTCTTCATGGTGCMTCCACCTGATTCCCCCCTTGTCGGAGTCATGTTCTTAGAACAGAGCTTCTTCTGGGCAGGCTGTTTTTGTAAGCACAGGAACAAGATGCTGCCTATTTTTCAAAGTTAATTTCTTTTCAAAAATGCGGACATGAGGAAGGTGGCAGAGGGTGGGCTGTGACTTAAAAGCAGATGGAAATGCAGAAGAACAGTTGCTTAGCACCTATGAAAGTCGGGCCCACTTCTTCACAAGATTTATATGTACTTAGGTACCCATATTTAGGTATCCACATTTGAGTCTTGGCCTCTAACTTGCCTACATCCTTTCCAGGCTTTTTCAGTGCAGCTGATGATTAAATAGGCAAAGATATTAGAGGTCTCATGCTGCAGTCCTGGCAATGATTGGCTCTGCACCCATGGGCTGCCTTTGTTCTACCTACGCTCCTACTGGGAGCTCTGCCATCTCTTAATGAAAGAAGCACAAGGATCAGAAAAAGTCCAGTAGAAACTTAATTCTCTGATGATTTCTCCATCAGTGGGACAGGAAGAGACCAGGCAGCCACCTTCTTACCTTTGTCTGGGTCAGAGATACAAATTAAAGACTGCAATCAGAGAGCATTGTTCAACCCAGGTTATTTTATGTGGCCACGGGGAATGTTTTGGAATGGGGCTGTAGCATCTATTTATCCAGGACTGAACTGAGGCAGGACAGACACACACCAAGCATTCGTGACATGAAAGAAAGAACATCCCCTTCTCCCCTCCGTAATAATCCTAGACTGACAGCCAAGAAGAATGTGCTCAAAATCACTTGGAAGCTGAAAATGTTTGTTTTCCTTTTAGCCTTATTTCCTCCTCAATTCAAAAAGCTCACCTGCTAGCCAGAGCAAGAGATTACCCTGCTTAATGACACAGATAAGGGAGGACAAGGGATGCTTTTAATTCCCATAAGCATCTCCCGCCTTTGTCTCAGCCTGCTTTCTCTGCCGGGATTAAGCTAACACTATTAATCGCCGAGGCTGCGACTAACTCCTGGGCTTTTATGTTAGTGACCTGATTCCGCACCGACACGCTCCTCCCAGCTCCGTGGAGCTCGCCATGTGATCGCCTCTTCCCCCTAAATAAAGTTGAAAAATCTGGCTGGGCTCAGAGCGTGGCAGGGCTGCCGGGGGAGCGGGAGCCCTCGGCGAGCCCGCAGCGCCCGGCGGCACCCGCTGCCTCTCGCCGGAGCCCGAGGAGGGCACGAGCGGCGCGGGCACCTCCGCGCCGGGGGCGCTCGGTCCTGCCGCCCCCCGGCAGCCTCCGCTTCGGCGAGAGGACGATGTGGCCGGAGGAGGTGAGTGCTGCATGGAGCCTCWGTGCGCAGCCGGAGGGAGGTGGCAGCGGGCACAATTAAAATGATAATAATTAGTAAGAAATCCTGCTTCTGTGCCAAGGGAATGGATGAGCACGTCCCTTTCGGAGCGGGGCTAGGGAAGTGGGTGAATTCCCGGCGCGGTGCGGAAGGCGCCTGTGGGAGAGGTGCTGGTGCGCGGCCCCCGAGGCAGGGTGCCCCCCGGGCAGGGTGCCCCGCCGCAGCCCCCGCCTCCAGCCTGCTTCCTTCCCGCCTCCCCTGCTCCGCAGCGGGAGCCGCCACCGCAGCGGGGACGGCCGCACCGGGAGGCACCGCGTTGCTCCCGCCACCCACACCCTCCACCCCGGGCGCCAACCCCTGGCCTTCCCCCTCCACCTTCCCTCAGCCCCGTTACTCGGCCCCGCTGCTGCCCGGCGCTGCCCGCGGGGCCGCAGCCTCCATCCCGCCCAGGCGGGAGGCGCCGCGGCCGCCGCTGCCCAGCGCTGCCCGGCTAGCGCGGTGCCGGAGCGCGGCTCTGCGCCCTGCTCGCTGTAACGCATCTCCCTGAACTCGCTCCTTCCCTCGGAACGCAGCCCCAGGGGGTCGGACCGCKATTTTAAGCCAAAAACAGTCAGTCACAGCCCTGGCAGGTGGGCACAGAGCCACCGGGGAGTCTTTAACCCCTTCCCTCGCACTCGCCGGGGGGTTCGGTGGGGACCAGCTCCCTGCCCACACCGGGGCACTTGTGCGGCAGCCCCGGGGAAACGACCACAAGCTCCTTGCAGAAGGGTAAGGACACGAAGTAGCTGGATGCAGAATTACCTTCCTCCTCCCCCTCTCTGGCCCCTGCTTCCTCCTACCCCGTGACTTAGTTTTCTCACACAATTTTAACGTGAAATTACCCAAGTACAGAATTTAGCATCATCCTGTGCTGCAACTATTCCAAGAACAAGTATGCTGCCTGGAAGAATTTTTCTTTTAAAATGAGTTGGAGGAATGCTTGAATATTCAAACATTTTTTCTGTTCTTGGGAAAGTTTTAAAAAATGCGGGAGAGAGAGAGAAAAAAAAAAAGTTTTCCCTGCAGGATTTTCACTCTTGGCAAATTTTAGCTCCAAGAGAAAGACTGCAGAGCATCCTCTCCATAATGACATCCCTCACTAGCAGTAGGGAAGGAGGAAAAAAAAGACAGTAGAGATTTAAGAGAGAGAAGGAACAGCGATCTTATTTGTTCCCTTTGTACAATTAATTAGCCCTGAACCAAAACCTTCCCTCACCTGCAAAGAAAATGAGGATTTAAAAGAAAGGGCACCGACTTTCCCAAGATCTTATTTTATGAAGCTRCTGCATCTTAGGTTTTTGTTTTGTTCATTTGAATTCAGCTCCAAAGAGCTTTCAGTTTTCATTTACCCTGTAATTCAAGATGATTAAAATCATCCACTTTTATTTAGTCTGGTAAGTTCTGACTCCAAAAAATTTAATACATGACATTAGGACAAACCGATCTTAGCAAGAGGCAAATGGAAAAGTCACTGAATGATTCTGAGCATCAGTGGAGGCTCGGGAATTGCTTGCACTTCAGGAACTGCATTTTCGCAGAAAAGCACCAAAAATAAAGATCCCTGGAAAAGTTCATAGGCTGCCTCTGTAATCACAGGCTGTAATTCCCCCGAGTTTGAAAGAGATGCGGGAAGAACCATGCAGGATGTTGTGCAAAAGGAAAAGTTTATGACTTAAATTAGGAAAAAGTCAGCCATCAAAGACAATTTCCACAGGAGGGAAGGAAAAAAAAAARGKATCCAGGTTTCATGGAATACATTTCTTTCAGCTGATCCTATGCAACCGTTTCTGTAGCAGGAAAAACAAATCTTGGCTTATCTGCAAGATCCAGCCTCCGAGAAAAGGGATACCGTGGGATGTGTTGAGAGAAAAGCTATCTCAACACAGTTTTTAAAATGCAACAAAGCCCATTTCAAAGTGAACATCATTAAGGAACAGGTCTGCTCAAGCGTTTGGAGAATAACACTTTGATGTAGCACTGTTCTCTAAGTTAAACAGAAAAAAAAAAAAAAAAGAAAAAACCTTCCCCCAAATAGGGACAGATGAAAGGAGTAAGACTTGATATCTCTTCCCAAACATGTTTGGTTACATCATGTATAAGCCTCAGCCAGCACGTTTTTTAGGAGCATTTAACAGTGAATTTCAAAGGAAGTGCAGAACAAGTTTTTATCAAGATTTCRTTGATCAGGATGATCAACTCTATCTACAGCAAGATATAGGGAAGACGACTAAACCGTACATCACRCAGGTACATTTTGGTAGCGTTGGTTTGAGTACAGAACTCAGCAGCGCTGATCTGCAACGTGATTTACTTGTGCCTTCTTCCTGGGAACAGGCACCAGCATCATGCAGAAACACCTGTACAGGGTACCCACAAAAGACAATGTTTGCCAAAACAGGCAGCTAGATGAAGGCTATAATGAYATCTATGAAACACTGACATTTATTGAACCACACTTAACATGTCAGGAGAAGTCACCTTAAAATCAATGGGGTGAATATCAGCTTCAGAGAGCACCTACAAAACAACAAATCTGTCGCTTCAGCTGTCCTCATCTCAGGGGTTACTTCATCTACACTAAGACCTTAGGAACAGCTGCACACAGCTCCTCTGCAAACCAAAAGCCCACAGAAATCACGTACTGCGTTTATGGGCCACACAAATCACAGACAGACGTGCCCACGGTGGCAGCTCTGCGACATAAAAGCAAAACCCTCAACTTCCATCCGAAACAGCAGCAGCGCCTTTCCCTCTCCTCAGCATCTCTCAGGGCAGAGATGGCATCAGCTTCTGCTGAAAAATTCCCTGCTTTTGTCTCATTCAGGTTGTCCTTCAGCATTATCTGAGCCTACTGCTGTTTTTCAGAGATTCAGGATATTCCTGGTCCTGTCCTGATTAGGGAAATCACAGGAGATTGGTCCTTTCATAAAAACAAGATTTATTTACAAGATGATTTATGTATCTGATCAACGCTGCACYGAGCTATTACAGGTAAAACTTGCTGGTTTTCCCTACTCTTGGAAAAGGGAGGAGAAAACCTCAAAACAAAACCATTAGGCAGCCTAGAAAACTTGTACTGTGCTTCCAGAGCATAGGGAAGACAGAAAAGGCTGAGCAATTGCTAAACCCTTTCTGGCTCATTGGGATACAAATACGGTAAAACATCTTGAGAGATTGAGACCTGAATTTTATAGACTTAATTAAAAGACTGGCTTGCTTAAATCTTCATTTAAGTTGCTGGTTACATGATTGGACATCACAGCAAGGATTACAGGCAAATTAAGTTTCTAAACTAGAACTAGGTGTAAAAAAGGCTGCTATAGATCAAATGTTTTTATCAAAGGTTAGGAAGGCAAAAGTAAAAACAGATCATTTGATTCTGGGGCTTCTCAGATAAATCTGCTGAGTTTAACACGTACAAACCTGTTGTCACTCTGTATTTGAGGGACGCTGCCATCCCGTAAACCCTCAACGTTCACTACCGGCTACGTTCAGAGCGCACAGAGCCGACTGAGGAGCAGGAAGCCTCGGTGGCTCTCAGTTGAAAGGCTCCTCAGCACTTCGCACTTTGGGAACCTTAAGATTCCCCAAAGTATCTAAAGCAGACGAAGGGGAAGACAGATCTGTCTGCAGTGTGTACAGGCATTTCTGAAAACGGCTGTGTTGGCCCTATCTGCATCTTTGAAAAAATCCTGAAAAATGGAATTTAGGGAAGGTTGTGAAAAATGGGTAGTAAACCTGACATACCTCACTATGTGCTGCTTATTTTTTCTTCCTTCTCTCCTTTCCCTGTTCCCTCTCCCTTTCTCTCCCCGCTCCATGTCCCCGCTTTCTCTTGCTCACTCCCACTCTGACTTTCATCTGCAATTTTGTGCTTAAGTGTATTAGTAGATGTCTTGCTACACTAGCTCTAGAGGAGGAGAAAAGAATCATTTCCAGCTCTGACTTACAACCCGATAGATACATTTTATCCAGATGTCTACATCAAAAAAATGCAAATGCAGGAGAAGTAGGCACATTCTTCTGCAATTGCAATAAACATGGAAGATGCATTTAAAAGGCATCAGGGAAATTTAGAAGCAAGCTGAAGGCATAAAGAATGCCTAGAACTGTATTAAAAAGCCAATACATATTTAAGATTACATAAATGCTAGAAGTAATTCTACATTTGATTTGAAAATGCGAAGCATGTGTATCAGTCTGTGTGAATATATGAAAGACACAAACACTAMCTAGATATCAAGAATCTTCCTCCTACTGGAATCAAAAGAGATTTTTCATATTGGTTTGCAAGGAGCAGGATTATGATTCCAGGCTAGTGCTCTTTACTTTGGAAACACGTTTTTGTGTTCACTTGAAAAAAAAAGCATCATACATATGATATTCTTGCTCGTYGTTGGTTTATGTGGTTCTGGCAACCAGCCCTCCTCAATGGATAAAAGCAGGAAGAGAAAGGAGGGATGGGTGAGTTGACCATAGGGCAGTCTATGTACAATGAACTTCATACTAAAACAACAAAGCTGCAGTACCTAACCTATGATTTCTGGCCCTCATCCCTCCGAGGAAGTTGGAGATTTCAGACATTCGCAGAAATTGGTCCCTTTAACCATAACAAAGAACCAGAAAACAGTTTTTAGAGGCAGTTGAAACTCACAATAAGCCCAGTTTTCCACCCAGCATTTGTGGTTTTCTTCTCCCTTTCTTTCTCAAGCATTCGGTATACCACATTGCTCTTTTTAATATTAACCCTAATGTTATGTTCACACTAAGTCACAAAATTATAGTATATCAATGTTGCTTAGAGCTTTTATAAAAAGTGAAGTCAAGGATCTATTCACTGACATTCTTAATTCTGCCAGCATTTGACCAGACGCCTGTAACCTCAATTAATATGTTTTTAGAAGGTAATTCTTGTTACCATGTGTTTGGGAGCTTCCTTTGTTCCTCTCATGTAAACTGTATACAACTTTCTCTTCTTTTATATCCTCAAAACTCAAGACAAATACCTCAAAAATCCATTTGTCTCTACTTTGCTGGAATACTCTACTTCGAAGCACAGAGGTCAAGCTCGAAGATGAAAAAGAAAACACTGTGTCTGTCCTAAGGATGTTATAAAACAAGGAGCAGATTTTGTCCCCAACAGTTTATACTAAGTAAAGCCTTCCTGCATATATTAGCTTGCTAACTTAGGAAAATACAAAAATATGAGCCAGGGTAGCAAAACACATCTCTAGATGAGGACACGGGTTACAGTAATAGCCTGCTCTTATGTAAGCATCAAGCCTTAAGACATTTTCATTAAAAAGCTGAGAAATATGTTGCGTTTCCCAATATATTAATATGCTTACATGCAGAGCTTATTCTAACAAATCAGTATTTCCAGACCAAAAATGACTCAAATTATTTTTGTAAATATCTGAACCATACTAACATATTTATTAAGTGTTAATGGGAATTAAATGTGTATATTCCTGAGATACTAGTTCACATGTTCATAATGCTCAGATAAAATACACTGAAGACTTATGACTCACACAAAAGCAACCAAACAATGTAGGAATAATTTATTCTCTACTGTTTAATTTAAATTAGGGCATAGATATTGAAGAATGTTTTTGTTTTTGTTTTTCTAATGGAAAGTTTCCTCCCGAGAATATGTTGACATTGAGACTTCAGTAAATGGGCTGTGACTCAAATTGAACGTGTGTATATTCTATGTGTGTATATGAGTGCACACTTAATGCAAAGATTAAAGATGACAGGAAAAGACTCAGCTAGATTTTAGCATAAGATCCAACTCTTTCTCAGAAACTAAAATACCAACAGGAGCATTGCAGTATGAACTGATACAAGGTGTTTTTCCTTTACTGCTACTGTGGTCTCACCAGTGCTGAGATGTATAATCCCCTTCCTCAACCTGCTATGCACTCTCTAATGCGGCTCAGGATGCCTTTGGCTGCCTTTGCAGAAGGGACACGTTGCTGGCTTGTATGCAGTTTATTTTCCACCAGGAGCCACAGAGGCTCTTCTGCAAAGCTGYTTTCCAGCCAGGGAGCCCCCAGCCTCTACTGGTGCATGAGGTTGTTCCTCCCCAWGCACAGGACTTCATACCTCCAGGACCTTCATTCCTCTCTCTGCCCAACTCTCCAGCTTGTCCAGGTCCCTCTGAACGGCAGCGTGACCATTTGGTATATCAGCCACTGCTCCTAATTTCCTATCACACACAAGATTGCTGAGGGTGCAATCTGTTCCATCACCCAGCTCATTAATGAAGACTATAAACATCACTGACTACAGTATGGATCCCTGGGGTGCTCCCTGGTGACTGGCCTCCAGCCAGACTTCGTGCTGCTGATCACAACACTTTGAGCCCAGCAGTTCAGCCAGTTCTCAGTCTACTTCACTGCCCATTAATCTAGTCCAACATCCGCAGCTGGACTATGAAAACGTTAGGGGAGATGGTGTCAAAGGCTTCACTGAACTCCAGATAAACATGATCACCGCTCTCTCCTCATTCACCAGACTAGGCATTTCATCAGAAGCTCATCAGCTGGGCAAGCAGATTCTCCCCCTCTGTAAATACATKACAATTACCCCCAAATACCCTTTTGTTCTTAATATGTTTAGAAGTTGTTTCCAGGAGGAAACCTCTCCCAAGAATCATGACTTTTCAAAAATTATCAAGMATCCCCTTGCAATGACATTGTCCAGCTCCCCAGTGCTCACAGGTACCTCCTATCAGTTCCTATGGGAATGTTCGCTTTGTTTAAATCTGCCCCAACTTGATCCTCATGCTCCAAGGGAAAGCCTTCATCGCTCTGAGCTTTCCCACTTCTCTCAGGGGCCTGGGATTGCTGCGGGCAAATCCTACTGTTAAAAACCAACCACAATGAAGAGGAACTAAACACCTTGATCTCTTCCAGGTCCTTCACCACCACGTCAACATGCAAACAACAGTCAGAGATTTGGTCCATTCTTGTGGGAAATAAACTTTCCATCAGCTTTATAAAGACATTCTTTCTCCTGAGCTACAGTAAATCTGGCTTTAAAACTTTAAAATCAACATTTATTTTTGACTATGTGAACATGTTGTTCCTAACTGGCAAGAATTGCTCATTTACATCTTTTAACATCAACAGAATGCTAATCTAGAGTAATCTAGCGTAAATAGTCTTTATTACAAACAAGAATGGCTTGAAAGTGCTATTAATTAGTAAAAGAGACCCTCAAATCTCTGCTAGCCTGAGTGGGAAGAACCATAGATTTCCACAAGAAGGCTGAGTTACAATTGCATCCTATTAAACAGAGCATCTCAGAACAAGCAGCTATGCTGCAAGGTGCCTGAAAACTAATTTTGGCCTCAAAGCATTTGGGAGTAGGGTGGAGGGGGCTTGGAGCAATCTGTTATTTGAAATAAATAGCTCTGAAAATGTTTAAAGCTCCTGAAATATCCTGGGGCCAAATCTTGCTGTCTTGACTTTAAGCAAGAACGAACAGGAACAGCCCAGCCTTGTTTCTCATGACTTCTAACTCCAGGATGACATGTATGGGGCAGATCACACAAACCCCTCCACACACCGGCTCTCCTCCTTTCCAAGACTGGCTCTTCTAACTTCAGCAGGTCTGCTCAAAGAAAGCATATTTTGTAGGATCTGTTATAAAAAGAACAGACACAGAGCAGATCAAAACCAAATGACTTAAATGCATCCAAAATTCTATCAAAAGTAAAAAGATAATAATCTTTTTAAATTCTAAGGCTCACATGCCTTATGGGGACCTCACCTCTGAAATAATACTATGTTTTTTTTCCACCTAGGTCATTTTTCCAGACTCCAGATTTGCGATCAGTGAGGACATCTCATCAACTCCAATGTAACAAGAACAAATACCCCAACCTCAAATCTTCTCCACACAAAGCAAGTCTGAGAGCAAGTATCAAAGAAGAGGAGTAAATAAAAATCAATTAAAATGAGAGATCCTGTTTTATAGCTGACTTTATGATGTTAACAAAACCAAGTCTGCCCCTCAGTAAAAGATCTGCTTTGATTTCACTCTTTTGGGAATACTCAGGGGAAGGAAAAACTCACTGAACAAATTCATAAGATATAAACTACACTTATTGCAGTGCTCATTTCTGTTTTAAGCCTGAGGATGAGCCCTGCCACCACAACARTCCCAGAAAATTGATTTCATTTTCTTCAATTACCTGTTCAAGAAAACAAAGAACCAAACCAGCAGTCAGCTAAGCAGCTCTTTTTCCCCTCTAGACAGAGAGGGCAACACCACACGAGCCTCTGGCTTATTCACCGCTTGGATATAGATGACCTGCCCTGCAAACACAGGTCTGTGACACATCCTGCTGTTTATGTCCTGCACGGCTTCATGAACAAACCACGCTGCTGAGACCCATTCGTGCCTGGAGCAGCCAGGGAAAGAAACATCTTATGAATGACACCGGTGACAAGGGAATTGTAGCTCTTGCTTCTTCCAAAATCTTGACTGTGTGAGAACAACAAGTACATCCCAATGAGGCCCAAATTCAAAGTTGTTCCTGTACCTGCGCTTTTGGCCTCGACGGAATATGAAAACTTTACTAAGCTAAACACAACGAGAGACGCTGAAACTAAGCAGCTAGAGGGGTCCCTCTCATCTACTATTGCACTGATAGTAGTGCTGATTATTTTTTTCTCTTTGATAATGACATCCCTAGTAACCTACTGCTTTCACAAGTGGAAACTCAGAGGTAAAAAACTGCAGAGAGCACAGGAGGAGTATCAGAAAGACCACGAAAAGAGCATTTGCCAAAGCACGTCTGGACTTGTTTCATAAAAAATGGCTCCACCGTGGCATAGCCTTGTGTTACTGGAAAATGAAAATAATAAAAGGATGGCAACTATGAAATTCCCAAGCAAACATAGCCTTGTTTTATCTCATTTATAAGAGTTGTTAGCAGTTTGGAGATTTCCTACAGCTTTATTATACATATATAAATATATATATATATTTAGTCTCATTTGTGCAAGGTAAAATTAATGCAACCATTTGTTTTTAATCTTTACTGTATTACTAAAACTGTAACCTAAAGTCTGTTGCTTCAGCTCTTTCCATCCACTGGCCTGCAGAGGGCATTGGGTCAGATTTTGAGGAGTGAAAACCAACAGAGATGCTGATAAGCAACAGAGCTATGTTGCCTTGCACTAATCCACTTACCAGTTCAAAGACTTTGAACTGCAACTGGAGTCCTGTGTCAAACCAAATCACAGAGTTTCAGCAAGTAGCAGCCTGATCCTGAAAGCCTTTAGCTGAAGCACTCATGTCTTCAGCAACAGTTCAGTGCAGAAACCATGCAGGATCAAGCTCTGAATTTGCAAGAAGGCTGCAAGTTGAAGCTTCTCTTGCATAAGGTTCAGTGCTGAGAGGTGCTAGGGGCTTCCAACTGTAAGTGGATTAAGGACATTCAACAGCACAGAATGGGACCCAAGTTATCAAGGCCAAGCCTAATGCACCTTTTTAACTTGGCTTGTAATTATTTTTAACCAACCATACAATGGTGTGTTTCTATTTTCTTAGCCTGTATTATTATGTTCTAGAAAAAATGACAGCTCTATTGTGAGTAGCATATATATGTACTATTTTCTAAGAGAAAAGTGTTGGCTGCAATATTACTAGAAGTAATTGTTTTAAGAGTAGAAAACATGTACATTTACAAAGAAAACCCTGCTCAAGTATATAGCTTGCTTGCAATTACCATTAATGCATATGTATTTTTAAACAAGCTATAATACTGTGATGGTGTAAACTTACTTCTGTAGGCAAAAAATGTTCTATTTAAAACTGTCAAGAAAGTGGAGAACCTAAATGTTCTTAAAGTGCTATGAATTAAAAATATGAATTTTTGCAGAGGCCTCTGTTACATGCTACAGATATATTTTGCAACATATTTATGAATCATACACACTATTCTATGTGAGAACAAACAGTACTATTTTATTACAGAATAAATAAGTTATGAATATCCATGTCCAGAAGATGAATAATTTTTTTTTTTTGGTGTTGTTTGTTTGAAATTCCCCTGATAAACTCTACAGGTAATTTGAAAGATAAAGGACCTGCTGCCTTCATGACAGCAGAGATGCACTCCCCTCCATTTCCCAACCTGCCCCCATATAGATCATGTTGGTGATCTCCAGCACCAAGGTTATGCTGGAAAAAAAAAAAAAAAAAAAAAACAGTTTGCTAGTTGAATCAAAACAATGCAAATGGGAATTCATAACATTAATGTATGTATTCGCAAAGGCTATATATAAAAAAAGGCATTTAGAATAGCATTTCTGCTGCATGAATGGAGACAATAAGTCATTTTTGAAAAATCATACTGAATAGCAAAAAAGTCACAATTTGAAGAATGCAAGATATTTCAAAATGCTTCAATTATAATAAGCAATACAGAGCTCCCAGTGTTCCAGTATTGCCGATAGCCACATATAGGATTCAGAATCATTGCTCCAAAATCAACAGTTCAGATTTGCACTGAAGCAGAACCGAGGTACTGTGTCAGTAGGGGCACCAGCCCTTCTTCCAGCTTCATTCTCAGAGCCACCAGTTCAAAGCAGAATAAATGGGTTCAGTTCCACTTTTTGGAAGTCGATCAAATTAGCTGAAGCTAAAAAATTTCTTTTTCTTGGCCACACCAAAACTATGTTTGCRAAAGAGATTTATAAAAAGGCAGAGGTTCCAAAGGAGCGTCTCTGCTCACATGGCTTCAGAGCAAAGCTTGAAGATRGTTCCAAGGATTATTGGACCAGTGAAAATTACGTATTTCACTGGTATTTGGAAAATGGTTACCCAGACACGTTTATGTTTGTGCCTGGTACATAACCAGACAAGTTAATTTTTAATAAAGTTAGCATCATGCTCAAACTCATGCTAGTAACCTGTTCTGAATAAGAAGAAAGTTTATCCCACGGCAGAAAGAAATGAATTCCAGTGTCATAACAAGTGGTTAGAAACAAGATTAAGGAATGACCAAGTCTCGAAGCCAGGTTAACTTCTTCCATAGAGAACGCCAGGGCAATTGAAAGTGGAGGTGACACAGCCACAGTCTGCAGGAAACTGGTTTTAATAGTAACTTGAGAAATATAATTTCCTCCAAAAGGTTAAAAAAACAACATAACAGCACGTCTTATACCATCTTAACAATTACAACATCACAAAGCCTGTTACTAGTGTACATGCTACTTAAGCAAGGCTATAAGAAAAGAATCTTTTGCATCTGTGTAGAGCTCAGAGCAACAAACTCTAGTACACGGCAAATCATTCARAAGATGAAATAGTTTCTATGTCTAGCATAAAAGCTAGAAAGGAAAAGCTCCATAGCCCCTTTTTAACAATAGGTGGATTAATTTGATTCAGTACTACAGCTGCTTACCGTATGAATCAGCCCTGATCCACCTTGCTCCTTTCACGCCTCAGCAACCCCAAACAAGGGAGCAGATTAATAAATATTTCTTGATCATAGTTTTATAGTGCTTCTTTGGATCAAAACAAAAATGTACCACTGGGCAAGGCGGGGGATGGTGGAGGGGGAAGGAAGCTCCTGTGAGAAGAAAAAAGGCAGAGACACGATGTATATTTTTTCCCTTCAAGTCAGAATTTTTGGATCACTAGTCTCAAGCATTGCAGGATTATGAAATAAATTATTTAGAGCTCAAAATCACTCATTCTGTTGTACATCCCTAATAGCTGCTACAAAAAAACAGAAAACAAACACTCAGATCTCTGAGAGCTCCTGACAAAAAATGAAAAGCAGAGCTGTATTAAGCAGTGGGAAGAGGCACATAACAGACATAAGCAAAATGTGCTTTGATTTTCCAGAGGAGCTTTCCAAATTGCCTTTTCAAACACTGTGCATACAAACAAGAGCTGTGTAGCCACTGTGCCCTGCAAGCACAAACACTATTTTACAGACAAGCAAATATTGTCCAACACCTAACAACTCTCGGTTCAACGTATTTACATAAATATTTGACAAAAGAGTAAGACAAATATTCTCAGTATTTCTAGAGAGATCAAGATATTGAAAGCCAAATATCAAAATCTTCTTTCTGGCATAAAAATAATCTGTATTTAGAGTCCTGGATACCAGTTTCTGTGTTTTTTTAAGGGCTGCAAGATACATTCATAGGAAATAAAAACAGAATTACTTTTTCAAAGYATTGAAGTCCCGATCACCCTTTGGATATGTGGCAGAGTCCTTAGGAGAGCTCCTGCGGAATAACGGGTGTCCTCTGCCCAGMATTAAGCAAACTGCCAGACTTCTAAAGAGTCTAGAGAAACAGAAAGCCTAGTGCAAAGACAAATAAGGAACAGAGATGGAGTATCTAAAAAGGAAAGGTTTAGAAAAAAACAGATTTAAGGGATTTTAAAGGAATTGGAAGGTAGGAGATTTAAGGGATTTGAACATTTCTAAGGACTGCAGATTAATGAGAAGAACCAAGCAGCAGTTTACATTTTATAGAAGGTAACTATGTAACTTGTAATTACAATTTAAAATTTAAAGTCAAGCTTAGGGGAAACATTTGGGTGGATTGCTAAAAGCATCCATTTACAAAAAAATAAACTGCCAATGAAGGAATAAGGACAATGAGCTTYGAAGAATTTAAGGCTGCATTATGTTTTCATTTAGGGTTCAACCTACTTGGGATTTCCTCCCAGGGAAATCATTCAGGGTAGTTTTTAAGCACCAAAAGGCAGGTAGTCACTACGGGAAGTGAAAACCAGAGGTTTAAAACAGCCCTCACTATTCCTAAAAGCAGCTGATGGATCTGGCTAATCCCTCAACCACCTTCAGGGGTCTGAATGGAGAGAAATTAGGAAACCAGAGACCACCACTGCAAGAGAGAGGCCATGAATGACTGCTCTCAACAGCCACAAAGGCAGGCTACATCTGCGACAATGATGAGCCTATATCCTACCCTCGATGTTAAGGCTGCAATGAATCTGTTTTCGGTTTTGTCTTACCTGCTGAGACCTCCGGCATGAAGTCGTTTTATCTGGATACTAAACTTTCACCTGTTTGAAAGACAAGGACTTCCCATCTTAAAAAGCACAGAACGTTACAACAAATCCCACAGTACATTGAAAKAAAAGGGTCAAAAGTATTGACTTTTTTCCAATCTTAATCTATGTTGTGTTCTTTTCTCCTCCTAAACATCTATTCCAGACAGGTTCTATGATTAATTTATTATCATTACTTATCCTGTTGGCATCCTCAGCGTTACTGATTAATTTCTGTTATAGACTCATTATTTCAGTTCTATAAATACTGCATATCATTTTATTGCTTTCTATGGTTACTTTGCCACCTTCTTTTTCTCCTCCACCTGGGGCTCTCACTTTCAATTTAACAGGAGGCAGTGGGCAAAGATTAAGCTGAAACCCAGTAATTACACCTCCCTGCCCTGAAAAATGAAATCTTTTTTTTTTTTTTTTTTTATGGATGAAAGCAGCTGTGAGCTGCTCTGAAATCCCACAAGCGACCTCAAAAAATACAATATCTACTGCTTGTCAGATTAATAATAAAAAACGTTGGCTTCCCTAATTTGAAAAATATATTTAGCTGGATTATACTGTATTGCAGCATTTGCATTTGGGAAGAACCAGGAGTTCAATCAAAACCCAAAATCCAGCATGCTGGGCATATCTGGTTCCACCTGCAGGAATATTAAACCACCACTCAATTCATCACTGACAAAACAGGTTACATCCACAATAGTTGGCATTCAGTACATGGCTGCCTGCAGGAGACTTTCCCAGTTCTTTATGTCCTTGAGTTATGTTTACCAGTTTCAGGCCTTACATTTTTCTGACCTTTCTCTTTCAGCCTTTGCCATATGTTGCTGGGATCATCTGAAAGTTTGGGGAGACTTCTGAGTGTTTCTCCTACAAGCGTAAGCACATCCTGAAACAAAAACAAATCACAGAATATTATTTGATTTTGGATTCCTGCCATTTGTCACGTCCTATCACCAGTCCTATCTTGGCAGCTCTACCTGGCCCCTGAAAAGCAACTATGTTACTGCCTTTTTAAAGTATCATCTTTAAAAACTTTGTTGAGGAGTGTGGACAGTGATCTGCCCCCTAAAGCAGGCATGCAGAAATCTATGCTGGTCACTGGAGACCAYGTGTCACTACAGCTTTCTGGGGATGGCTGCCAAGATAGATGACAGAGCCCAGAGATATTGTGTAGCTCACGTACTGCACTGGCTGCTGCCCCAGCATTTCTTCCCTAGGGAGAGGAGGCAAGGAAGGCTGGTCTTTTTGGAGAAGTTGGAAGCAAAGTAAGAGAAAAGAAGTCTGACTTGAAACTGAAGTTCCTCAGGTACAGAATGCAGRCAAATTTTCACAGAGCATGGTAAATGAACACACCAAGGAAGCAAATCAGGAATTAATAAGAGAAAAAGTGTGTGTTGTGCAGCCCATGAATTCYTGCCCTGCTCACACACACAGAAAAATAAAGATCTGGTGTTTGAGGGATTCCCTATCTAATGCTCGGAAACAACATGCTTCCAATATAACTCCCCTTTGAAACACGGATCATCATAAGGAAGAGTAATAGGAGAGCCAGGAGTTTCCATGAGTTTCAGCTTACCTTACCCACAATCTATTTCCAAGGGATTTGGCAACAAGAACCATTTTCTGTGACAGGAGGGCAAATGGTCCTCCAAGTGGAAATCTCACTGTATCTGTACAGACTAACCATTTYCCAAGTCTATTGTAACCAGAGAGAACAGTGACCTACAGGGGCAAAGCATCTCTGAAGAGCTGACAGCTGGAGAATACTTGTTTGTAAAGCCACTTTTTCTCTTTCTCTACAAGTCCTTGGATATTTTTCATTAGCCCTGACTTTCTGCTCTGCTATTCAGTCTGGAAGTCACAATCACACAGCAAAATGTTAAACRCATCTTGAGAAAAAAGCACACAACAGTAGAGCGAGGGGGAAAAAAAAAAAAACCAGTCGACGTGTAAGTGTACAAAGTTAAAAGCTCTAAAAAGTGATATTACTGCCACTCAGAGCAGTAGGGGATTAGGAACCCACAAGGTAAATAGGTATGTCTCAGAGTAGATATTGTGACCAAAAAAGAAGATATTCTAACTGTATAATCTGTAACAAGCTGCCATCTTGATCTCAATGCAACTGTTKAAAAAATGGTCAAGGTTTCTTCCAGAAATCTCTTTTTCACTTTAATCACGTTCAGGTGACCATATCACATCACGGGCATGGTTAAGAAGGAGTCTTAGAAATAGTCCCTGAGAGCAATAATCTGCTTTAGCCTCCACAGTAMGTTGCAGTCTCCTGTTCTTAGTCTTCTAACTCTAAAGATGAGTGAGGGTGATTCATATAGGTATAGTTACCTAATAATATATCTTTTTGTTATTTATCCTTTTCTCTTGCACATCTCACCAGAAACAGAATTTGCAACAGACCATTGAAAATCCATCAAGAGGTACCCAAAACAATTCTAGGACACCATAGGAGAGATTTTCCGCTTTTATAAATCAGGCCAGCACAAATGACTTGATCAGTATGCTAGTCCCAAGTACTTTATCAAAGACATGGAGTCAAATTTTGCTTCAACTTATTCTGTATTCAGGACAATGCAATTGCTTTGCCATAAATCAAGAGGGAGWCTGGCTTATGGATTCTTTAGTTGCAGTATGTATACAAAATACATCACAGCATTTATTTTAACAACATTTGCTTACTCTGGAGTAAATCTGCTCTTCCATTTTCTCCTGAAGCAAAGCTCCTTCCACTAGAGTCTTCTTCYGTTTGAGAAAGGTGATCTTGGCCAGCTCTGCCTTTTTCTTCATACAGTCAGGGCACAGTGAGGATTTGTGCACTACAACTTCTCTCACCTGAAAGATGAGAATTTGATGCAGGGAGTAAGGTCTGTCCTAGCAAGACAGTTTCACCATTAAGAATAATCAATGTAAGTACTGAGATAGATAGTGTCTAAACACAAAGATCTGCTTTTTTTAAGCAGTTGTAAGTTATTTCATAATCACTGTAATACTATCATCTTGTTGAGCCTGTCTGAATGTATTCACATCAAAATATATTTGTTTTTCCTCATGTATTACCCCTTCTAGCAATAACATTTTAATTTTAAATCACATATTCCTTTTCCAGAATCAGAGCACTGACATATATTTACTAGTTCTTCTTTTACTAGACAAACACTCCTGATGCTTGACGCTCTRTGTGCACAGGACGAATTTCTTCCAGAGTAACTATAATGGCAGGAAAAATGAGGTGACACGACACTCAAGCAACACATTTATGTCTAGCCAAGACTAATAGAGAAGACAGTAATACTAGCAAAAATTTATTTTGATTAGTCCAGCTCATTTGACCTTGGGTGGATGCTCAGTACAAATTAGAGTTTTGCCGATATAAATCTGTACATGCTTTGCTGGTGCTAAAATGTGGTTAGAGCACCAGCAGCCCCAAGTTATCTTGGTTAAGTAGCTGATCAGCCAGGAAGCCACAGGCTGTGTCTGATAACCAGTCTTCTCCCTCAGCACATACATTAGCTCGTGAAGTACGGATTAAGTTAGACATATTTTACTCCATACTTCCACGAGACTAAAAGAGTAAACATGCCTGATGAGCACAGCTCACTATCAGCCATGGTCAACCTGTAATAATTCATATACTGCTGTCTGTCAGGAACTCCTCCACTCTTTCAGTTACTCATTCAGTAACTCCTCCACTAGAACCATGCTGGCAGCATACATAAGGCCTTAAGTACCAGCCACAGAGGTGATGATTACCTGTACAGATTTTATGAGAAAAAATAAACTGAGGCAACAAGTTCAAATACTCAGGTACAGCTCTGAACTGGAACAGAAATAAAATTCTGCAGGCAATTTGTGAGATATACAGTACTACTTAGCAATTCCTATGTTAGGTTACTTACCATGAAACCTTGAGCATATTTAATGGCTTTACACAAATCTCAGTGTTGGTATTCATGAAATATCAATTATTTTTAACTAATCTAATATACACAGAATCCACGTGGTTACACAGATGTAATAAGTTGTTAGAAGAGCAGTGGAACCAATCATTTTGGCTTCCTAGAGTTATGTCTCAATCCCCTTCTGCCTCCTTTTCCCTTGAGCTCTTCTTCATAAAAATGTTCTACACAGAGAAGATGATGGAGAGGTCAGACTAAGTCATTTTTCTTAGAAAATATGTATTTTTGAAGTGTCACAGAAAGAAATGGTAAAAACTCTAGAAAATTTGGGAGCASGTAGTTGGATAATGTTAACTGAATAAAAGCAGCAGGACACTGAAATTTCAAAACAGTCAGTGAACAAGAAGTCTGGAAGAATCTCTACCCCAGAATTGACTTGAAAAGTATTATTCCCTGCTCACCTGACACAGGCTTAGCACAGGAATATGTTAACAAACGCTGTTAACATGCTCTAGAGCAAAAACTTAAAGGTGGTGTACGTGAGAGATAAAGCCAAATAAATTACTGTAATTGGCAGTCCAAGCTCTCTCTCTCTCTCTCTTTTTTTTTTTTTTTTTTTTTTTTTTTTTTTTTATCAGAACTTCCCTGAATGTAGGCATTTTGTACCAATTTTAAATACTACAGACATTTGCCAAGACTCAGATTTATGGCTAAAGTCATCTGTAGGTGATCACTGCTATAGCATACTCATACCCATTTACAAGTACAAAGCAAAAAAAAAAAAAGAAAAAAGAAAAAAGAAAAGTAAATCTAGAGAAAATAAAAAAAAAATCAGTCTTGAGATTACTGGCAGATGCAGAGCTGAAGTGAGGAGGTATGTCTGCTGGCCTGTCCTATGGGAAAAAAATGGCCTCTGAAAAATAAAAGTTCTTCAAATATTGTGAAGATGCCATATATATATATATATGTCTTAATAAATGAACATACGTAACCAAGAATCTATTGGACATGCTTCAAACATTAGATAAATRTTAAAAACTAAAGAAAGGTGGTAGGGAAAGATTTGTGCCTTTTAGAGTGCTTTTAATCATTTTTTTTTTTCACAATGTCTTTTTTCCTCGAAAAAGAGAAGCAACAAGAATGATAACTGTTTTCAAAATAATCTGAGTGTATAATGTACTTTTCTATTCACAGCTCCACTCCAATCAGACAGTCCTGGAAACATCAGCCTTTCGGAAAATTCCAAGGCCCAAACTGCAACAACTAGCACCAGTTGTTGCACTGCAGAGCAACAAAGTGGCTCACGACGTGACATTTGACCTCCACCAGTCAAGAAATCCTTTAAGAGCAGCCCTACATATATTCCATAGTATTACTCACTTTTGTGTTTTAAAGCYTCCCGCACATCCTTTTCCTGCATTGCTTTCCTGACCATGACAAGAAGGTTGCAGAAGAGCCCTCTGCTCCTCCCAAATAACCTGTTTCTATATCCAGACCCAAAACTCCAGTCACACACAACTGCTTTCATCCTGCAAGGCCCTTCATGCTGGCACGACAAGGCCACAAGGATACGGACACCAAGGTCTGACACCCGCCTCTCAGCTGTTTCTCCAAGACTTCACAATCACAGAACATGCAAAATATTTCTGTAAATAATGTCTGCAAATAAAATCAGAGAGCATGGACTTTTCTATTTCCACTTAATCTGGTGCTTATTGCGGATTCCAGTAAAGGCCCATGTCGGCCTCTCTCAATCACACAAGCCATTATCATCTCATCACCAGACAATATTTTACAATGATTTGATTATTCACTAGCAACAGCTCAGCAGGAGCATCTAACAAACTGATGTGAAATGTAAATCTTGAAATACCAACCAAAAAATCTCATCTAGAAGCCAGGGAGCACTGCATGAGTAAAGTGCGCACAATTTGCTCCTTATATCATGTTGTCTTTTTTTTTTTCCTTCAGTAGTTCTCCCAAAAGYGGAGACAATATTTATGTATATTCTTCTTTACAGTACCTGCTTTGTTGTCTCTCTGATATTTTTCAGGTGAATTCTATTCATGAGCTGAAGAGGAACAATGCAGTTGGAGGCACTTGTATCCAGTTTCTCCACTTTCTTTGGTGTGGATTCACGCTGCAGCTTTCTTGGCTTGCCACAGTTTGACTGCTTAGAGATCAGCTGGTGATGCATCTTGCTTATCTTAACAGTGCAAAAAGAGCAGAGAGCATCCAGTTCTCCATCTGGCACCCGAGTAATTTCTGATAGGGATATATCATTAAAASAAAAATATCAATTACTACATCAAAAAAAGGAAAACATCACTGGTCTTCTATCTCTGTGGCTTTTTATCATCTAGCTAATAAAAAAGAAAATCGATGTCAAGCCTGGAGGTGATGCTATGCGTAAGAGCGCGGCACAGAATTTAAATGACCGTCTGGTAAAAACTATGGAAACTTGCATCATAAATATCTATGCACAGCCTCAAAAGTGGAGAGGAGATAAGAATCCTAAAGATAAAGGCTACTTGATATAGCACAAATATATTAATAAAGCAAGAAGATACTTGAATATTCTGATATTACATAGACTTTCGATGACTGTCTAACTCAGATTTAGTTTCCTCCTATCAGAAACTACACCGTGGTAAAACATAAAGAATTCACTTTTAAAGAGAAAACTACTTGCCTAGGAATTCAAAATAGCAAGTACAGTAATCTCCGTAGTCCCATTGCAAAGTTAGGGTAGTGCCAATTGAGGAAACTCTGGAAAACATATCAGCTATATTACATAATCTATAGTTAGCCATCACTCCACTTTTTCTTTTCCCTTTTTTTTCCTCGAAGAATTATTATTATATTGGAAAACACTTTCCTCTGAGGCTTCAGTGATCACTTTATAAATTCTTTCTGACCTCGCTTAAACAATATCTGACACTCTCATTTTCTTTCATTCCAATGGTTTTATTTTTATTTATTTTTATAATAATTTTTATTTATAAAAACTGAAAGATTACACTTGGGATGGGGATGGATAAGGAGAGATTTMGAACCTCATTCAGTGCTTAGTGGGCATTTCTTTCATGGACTAAAAAAGACCCAGTCAATACAAACTAGCTAATATAAGGGTTTTTTTCTCTCATGGCACAACTCAGTTATTTCATTAGCTGCCACATACAATGAAGCTGTGTGGACACTACACAGCCATAAGAGTCACCACTGCTGTCCAGCTCTTTAAGCAGAGGAGGGAGAAACAGGAAGAATCCTCCTCTAATTTATGAAAAGTAGTATTTTAACTATACAATGATTATTTACACTTTCAGGTTTTCTCATTAGCAAACAATTGCCTTTCCTTCAGTCAAAAGGGGAGAAGAGATGCACAGAATAGGATGTATGCACAAGTTTTAGTGTTTGGTTTTATTTCTTGCTTGTTTTTCAGACAAGAAATTCTCTCCATCTCTGGGCGAGACATGCTCAAATGCTAATCTCCATTTGTGGTGGCAGACTTAAATGTCACTGCATGTCTGCCTGGAGAGCATCCCTGCCAGTGCCAATTACYGTTGCTGAAGCACATTCTGCTGCTGCTTGGTTACCCCAAAATCCTTCATTCTCATATCACTTTCTTAAGAGAGGAGAAAAGGTAGGAAGAGGTGACATGAAAAGCAAAGCCAGACACCAGAACAGACAGCAGGTTGGAACTGTGTGTATTAAGATGACAAACCACAGAGCACATGGGCATTAAAGCACAACAGACTGGACCAAGCTGCTCTGCTTACAGAAGCATCCGATGTGCTCCGATGGAGATTGCTAATCCCTTGGTCTACTTTCCAAACCCCTGATGCAGTTTACAACTCAGTGACCTACACAGACTTTTCTTTTTTGTATGTAACTATTTTTAAAGATGACATTTCAAATCTACGGGTGAAAAACAAAAATAAACGAAAAACGGCTTTGTTTTCCATTTAAATGGATAATGGAAAGGCAATTGTGAAAGGCTGTAGCCACACTTAAGTGATGATTACCTTTCAGAAAGATTAACTCTGCATCTCAAGATAAGAGTTTCATAATTATCTAAAATTGACTTTGCACAACTGAGTACAGCAGCTCAGATTAGGCAGACAAGCCTAAGAGGCAAAAGCCACATCTGAAAGACTTGTACAGATAACACAGAACTGAATGAGCAGTCCAATAAATCAGGTCTTTATCATTAAATATAAATATTAATTCAAAGCCAAAAACGTTCCTCCAACACTTTTCCTTCAATTTCTACTGGTGAGAAGTAGCAACATTGAGGACCTTGCAGATCTGTCTTTCAAAAGATACTCATTCTTTTCCAGAGAAAAGAACAAATCCTTTCCCAGCTCTACTAAGACATTTAACGAACCAGGTGAACTTTCTTTACAGGCAGGACTTTCCACAGGGATGTTGCTCGCTGATGTTTCCCTTCCAGCATATATTTGAGTGGAGATTTATCTGGCTATAGGATTTCAGCTTGCCAGATAGRACTGAATCACAGTAGGTTTGTATGAATTTCTGATATGCTCCAATTTACTTGAATAAAACAGATCTAAGAATATTATTTTACTATGGAATAGTAGGTGTTTTTAACAGACTAGTAGGAAACAAATTAGAACAGAAGCCTTGAATGTCTGGGCAGAACCAGATCTGCACAAATTGCATGTTTTTTTGCAAATGCAGAAAGATTTGGTTTCTATAAATTCCTATAGCTAGGACAAGTACCATTACCAAAAATGACCACCTTCTGAAGCAAATCTTTCAAATGCCTGTTTTCTTGGAACTAGTATCAACTACAGCCGATATAAAGCACTTATATGCACCTAATGATTTACTTAATGTTTCTGTGATTCCACACACTAGCACGATATTCATCATTTCTCAGTGGTACGGATCAGTTTTAGCTCCAAGAGGTGTTCAATATTTAGAACTAAAATATATATATACACACAAAAGTGATTTCACTTGCCGCTACTATACATTTGTTACATGACCTTATAAAAGGTCCAACCATGTCAAAAAGATTATATGAAATTTTATTCTTTTATGATTTTTAAATGCTACAAGTCTCTTAGAGGCATCATAGACTTGTCTCAGGGTTTAATCACATTTTAGCTCCTAGCCTTCAAGCTCCTTAAACCTGGTTGTTAATGTGCTAAGTCAATAATTAAATGCTTGGGCATGTGGAAACTTACTCACCAAGAGAATACAAACTAGATACACTCAGCAGACGGAAATATAGTGGWCGAGCTGAAAGGAAGATATGATACACAGAAGTAAAGCCTTCTGTTTCCACATWAAGGTGGACACACAAAGGTGAGCACAAAAACGCTTAAGCTGAAGAACTGCTGTTTTCTCTAGTAATTTTTGAAGACTCTTCAAGACTTTGGAAAAATGGAATCAGGGACTCATAGTAATGGTAGTCCTTTAGGAGATACATTTGCCTAACAACAGTAACAGCTTCCTCATGCAAAACTGGGGTGGAGACGGAACAAAGAAAGAGACAATAACAATGACAAAACTTTCTCATTTTTCTTGAAGCCAACATCTGGGTTTGCTTTCTCCCAAGCTACAAGTAAAACTACAAAAAGTAAAAATTATATTCCAGGGCATTCTCATGTGCAAACCAGAGATTTATTCACTTTTAATCCTATCAGTGGTTGTAATAAACCTCTTGTCATATTACCTGAAGAATTCAAAAGTAACAAGTATGCCCAATGCATATACTTTGCTTTTTAAACTATTACTATCAAAACAACCAATCAACCAACCACAACAACAAAAAAACAACCTCACAACCCTCCAAGCAGTGAAAAGAAGAGTCGTGGCTACTGAGTAATAAAGTCAAGGCGAGGCAGACATTTATAGATGCCATTATATGAAATCTGCTGTGCTTTTTTTTTTTTTTTTTTTATGTACATATGCTGATACTCTACCTTACAAGACAGTGCACAGAGAAGTGCTTGATTGATGCCGATGGATTTGGGAATAACCAGACAAACAGTACTTTGTACTGTTTACATGAAAGAAGTACAAATGTGAACTTTACTTTCTGTTCTTCATATTGTTAATAATTGGAAGCACTGTAACAATTAAACAGAGAAGTTCTTAGCTGCTATGACGATAAAGCAACAGCGCAGGCAAGCAGCAGAAATTGCATCATTTCATAAGTTACCTCGATCTAATGAGACAGACCTGGTGATTCACACCCAGTGACCAGACTGATTCCTCTTACCCATGAAAGAGCACAAAAGTTGAAGGTTTCTTTATGCAGAACTACAACAACTGGAAATTGAGAGAAGAATCTTTCCCAATTTAACCTTCAAGGAAAAACCCTGTCTAGCTGGAAARCTTCCTTAGCACTATACTTTCATCAGCACCTCTTAAACGTCTCTGTGAATCAAAAAGTTACAAAATACAAAGTCTGGTCTAGGAACTGATGATCTATGTAGTTGTCTTTTCACCTCTGACTACATGGCAGTCTTGCAGGTAATAATAAGAAAAATGCTGAAGGATGGAGTGAGGAACTCATAACATTCACTCACCACTGCTGTGAGTAAGCTATACTTAAGAATAACCTAAAATGATCTTATGTCTTGTTTTTTTATGATTTATGGAAGACCTGAGGATGCTTATAGTCACATACAATGTCACAAAGTATCCAGGAAGGAGGATGTATCTCTGATCAATGAATCATTCTTAAAGGTCACCTAAAAACTTCAAGTTTGTTCAAATTTCACATCCATATAGCCTAAGATAATACTTTTGCTTTAACTAYTTTTTTGCCCAGTTACTATTTTTAATTAAAAGCAAGAAAGCAGCATCTCTGGCTCGCTTTATAGGGAAACCTGAGCAGTACTTGCATCCCATCATCGGCTCTTGCCATGGCTTTCAAAACGAGTACATGCAAACAACATCCTTCTTCCTTCCTTTTCCTTCTGTCTCCTTTTCCATCATGGTCTTGGTTAAAGCTGCTTTATTGTTTTTGTCAGTGTTAGTATCCTGCTGCCTCCCTCAGTCTGGGAAAGGAACTCGAATATTGTTGACAGGAGTAATAGAATTGTTCAAGGAGAGGGCAGACATTAGCACAAATTCTAAACTAATATTTATTTTGGAAGAAACAAACAGATCTAAATCCTAGCCCTTGCTGCTGGTGAGAAAAGAGAAAATACCAAACACTGCAGTAAAAAAAAATTCAATGTTTATAGATAAGTTTTTAACATCAATACTTTTTTTTTAATTAAAGTACATTTATCCAGTCCTTATGACAAGATATTAGTAGGCTGATGTCATATCAGGGGCATCCAAGCAATATGAGCAGTGGCACACAAACTGTTTTTCCAGAAAGCATAAAAGAGAGAAACGCTGTTCTTTGTTAACTACCTTGCTTGATTTTAATAACTTGTATATAACACTAAGTCTAGTTAAAAATGTAGCTCGCCTTCCAAAAGAAACAAGAACTATAACTTCTACTAGAGTTGCTGAACTCACCAGCTTGAGTTTTGAAGACAGATTTGTCTTGCTTAATGCCAACTTCTTTATTTCTTATAAGGTCAATAGACTTCCCCAAGAAATCTCTTTCTACAGCTGCAGATTCTGCTGTTTCAGATTGTTCATCTACAAGGAAAAAAGGTAGCTTAGAACATGCATCCTGATGATAGCAGGACTGAGACAAAACAAAAATAAAAGAGGATGCAAATATGCACTCAAAAATGCACTCAAATATGGCTGGTTTTCTCCACTGAAGGAAAAGAAATCCCAGGACATGACTGCTCAGAGCACAACAGTGATTTGGGTGYGAAATGTACTGAGCAAGCTTCTATCACACAAAAATATCTCATATTGTTCATTTTTAAACATGCCATCAAAGGACAGTATCAGATATGCTGTGAAGAACAGAGACGAATGCTCTGAGCTATTAACACATTTAATTTTGTTTGCAATTTAGCTTAACACCAATACACCTTCTCCCTCAGGTCCATCACTTACTTTCAACCCCACACGGCCTCTTTCCACAAGGCACAAATATTCCTGAGAGCTTAAATGAACTGTATCCAGGAACTGATCAAGGGAAAAATACAAGTTTTGGTTTCTTTTCCTTTCATGTATCAGTCCCCTGTTATCCAGGGGTTCCAGTACAATTTCAGTCTTGCAGTGACTGAGGAAACTGCCAGGAAGTGGAAATGAGAGCAGTAAACACAAGACATGGTCCCCATTCAACATACYAAGCATATTAAGCCAGCTGGTCAAGCTGAATTCAGAAGAATGAGATTACAAGAGTAACAGCTATTATATATTAACAGATACTAAAACACATCATATATAATTTATGCATATATACACAAATTTGAAAAATATATTTCAAATATATTTGAAAGATAGATTCCCTTATTCCAAAGATAGATTTTTTTTTTTTTTTAAATAGGAGTGTCTTCAAGTGCTCCCGATACCTTCCAGATCAGCCTTGGAGAAAATGAAAATGCACAAGAATGACAGAGAACCCCACAGAAATGGAAAAAGAAGTAACTAATAAACAAGGCTATGCTAGCTAACTTACACTCTGTTGCCTGTTCTTAACCTTTCATCTGATGCAGCTTTCAAGTATGAAACCCCCTCAAGTGTTTCAGGTCTTGGAACTTCCCCTGTGCCCTTGGGAAAAGAATGCTTCCCAGCTACTTTTCACATACGGTAACTCAGAGTATTTTGCAGAGTTTGTAAAAATACCAATTTCAACATCATAAAATTGCTAAAAGAGCATTTCCATGGCTAAATAGTACCCTTGTGCATATATTGGTCCTGGAGGGCAAAACACCTAGCAGAACTACTAAACCTATGTTGCTTTGAACAGCAAGAAGACTGTATGTGATTCTTACATTTTTATTTTTGCTGATTCAAGTTTCCACAGATGTAAGGGATAGGTCTCAAGCATGATAAACTCCACATACCTGCATGATTGTGATCTGCCAGCTGYGAGAGCCTTTCCAGCACATCTGATATTACAGAATTCCCTAAATCTTCTGTGGAACAATAAGATTCGAATGATTCACTCTCATATTGTGAGCAGCTTTCTTCCTCCTCGCTGAATGACTCAAATGTATCTTCTGAATAGTCCAAAGTGGAGCTACTGCAACTCTGGCCCAGTTCCCCTTGCCTCTCTTCATGGTCAGGAAAGTTCTCAGCTGTGGTGGTCATCACAGTGCAGCTCTGCCAAGAAAAACAAACAAACAAACAAACAARGCACATAATTTCAATTACATGGGAAGAAGCGGGTTATTTATAGTCTTGGGGCTCACGTGGAGAATGATTACAGCTCAAAACAGATTTAGCTGCCAAAACAGGAGTCTGAAATAACTACTTAATCAATGTGCTGATCAAGGCAGCATTCTTCAAAGCACTACTGCTGATAAATGTAGTGCATCATTAATCTCTGCTGGATAAGCATATAATAACAATACTGAACAACAACAAATCTTGAACAACATTCTTTTCAGATTTGTGGTGAATTACAGGTAATATTTGAATAAAATCATTCATGAAAACAAGGCAGCTTGGATCTTTTYGCCATTACATTTAAACCCTATACTGCTAAGAAATAAAAAGCATCTCTACTTAGATTTTATGTCCAGAAAATAAGAAAGAAAATGCAATAGGCATCAGCCATGCAATGCTTTCAAATGAATACAGTCTTACTCTCAGTGTGAAAAAAAAACAGAGGCATCCAGAGTCAAGCTCAAAAAAAAAAAAAAAAAAAACCAGAAAAAGTGCAACTCTCAACAGGTAATGTGCTATGGATATATTTTAAAGTATTAGTCTACCTACCTTGCCCTCTGCCATTACAATAATACACTACAGCCCATCTGCCTTTGATCTTAACAACCCAATAACTTTGTCCTAAATAATACTGTGCTATTTTTATTCCCTRCTCCCATAGAGAAAGGAGCATAACTACTTGGAAAGCAGCTTTTTGGAAGGATGATTTTAGCAATGACTGCAGTGGTTTCTCCACCAGAAGGGAAGGCAGCCCAACACTACAACACTGATTAGAGAAAGACAGTTTATACCAAACTAAGACATCTCAATTTCTGGCATAATATTGTACTCACTGTTTATCAGTGAATTCCAAGTCAAGTTCTTTTAAAGGTGCTGACTTTAGCAATTTCCCTGCTCAACATGCTGCTTGTTTTTAACTGAGGCCTCTATTGCATTTACCTCTATTGCACTGCTGGACATCCAAATCCCACATGCAGCCATAAATTTCTTGGTTTTCAGAGGCTTTCTTTTTGTTCTAGCATAGTCCCCCCAGATTAAAGAATATTAATCTAAACTTTCTATCTAAACTTTGATCTAAACTGATCTAAACTTTAAATATTAAACAGCTCTGAGTAATTCTATTGTTCATTGTAGGAACACTAATGCAGGTTGGAATCTGATTAATGAGATCAGGTCTCCTGGAGAAAAATGGTATGAAACACAAACAGAGAGAAATTAGCTCTCCAGCTCTCCAGCACGGAGCCGACCTCAGAAGTCAGGTTTGCARTTGTGGTACTTCTTCCTTGGCTTGAAAAGGGCTGAATATTTTGAGGTAGAAAAGGAACAAGATGGGGAATTTTGGCAAAAAGTAGGGCTGTCTGAACCAGAGCTACTTCATAATGTCATRTATAATTGATGCAAACTGATTTACCACAGGGAAACGAAGGTATTTGTCATAACATTAAGAGATAAAGGCACGTTGCAGGGAATAAATAACTTGTAAGTGAGGCACATTTATAAACTGCTTTAATGACAGAGTCAACACAGAGCTTTCCTCTCTCCGAGGATGAGAGTCCATCAATCTCATCGGACCGAGGAGCAAGCTCCATCCCGCAGGAAAGAGGACAAAGAGGAGAAACCAAGGAACTGGTTCAATCAACTCCTTTGTTCCCCACGCACATACCAAAAGAAACACTTCAGCTCGTGGACATGGCAGCAAAGCCCCTTGACCGTGCAGGATACGCAGCCATGGGATCGGGAAGGGCCCTAGAGGAAAACGTGAAGAAATGCAGCTTTTTCCCCTCAAGATAGGAAAAATAAATAAATAAATCAGCAAAAAAAGTTATATTCACACCACATAGCAGCCATAGGGCACTCTCCTCCGCACACTTCTATCTGCTCGGGGAGGCCGCCCGCCAGCTCGCCGAGGACGGGCAGCTCGTCACACCTACCCTCCGCCGCCGCAGGAGGCCCCGGGCTGCCGAGGCCCCGCGGCAACGCGAGCGGCCGCGCTGGGAAGGCGGCGGCGACCACGGCCTCTGTGGGGAGCCTCGAACCACCTCACCGGGCCCCTCAGCGCCGCAGGGAACGAGGGAAACACGGGGCGGCGCGGGGCGGAATGGCCGCCGCCTCCGCCCAGGGGAAGGCGCCGGGGCGGCCCCGGCTCCGCCTCCTCCGGCCCGTCCCCCCAGCGCTGCCCGCCATGGCGCGCGTGGGGCGGGCCGGGGGGTGAGGGGCGACATGGCGGGGTGAGGGGCTGGATGAGGCGACGTGGTGCAGGGGGTGAGGGCGTCTTGTGAGACAACATGGCGGGTGGGGGGGGTCTCATGAGGTAAAATGGYCTGGTGAAATGACATGGTGGGGCAAGAGGCTCTGGTGAGGTGACATGGCTGAGCCCTCACTTAYGGGGAGTGAGGACTCCCCACTGGGACATGACCCACTGGGACATGACCCCAAAAGCATCCCAGTTGTCACGTGGCAGCAGCTGGCGTGGCGCTCCCCGTGCAGCACAGAGCATGTACCAATGTCCCCATTTACCTATGTCCCCAAGGTGGTTTTTCATGGCTGACTACCACAGGCWGCCTCGGGACTGAACTGCCTAGGTCTCAGCTTCACTTTGAGGTCCTTACGGAGAGAATCTTGCCTTCCCCCATCCTTCATCAGGYGGACCCTGGCAGATCCCATGGTCTTCTGCAAAGAGACCTCCATAGGCTGCTCATATATTGCAGAAAAACCCTTTGGCCRGTGCAATGAGGTAGATTGCGGAAGAGTAAATAAATTTCTTCATGCAGCAGTGTAAGGCCAAGCTGATTAAACAGTTCTGCCTACATATCATTTAGATGCTTTAAACTTCAGTGCTTTATTGGTTTCTGCAGAGAGTAGCCTGCTTATGTGGTGCTGGCCCTTTCATATCTAGCTTGCTACAGGAAATTAAATTAATATATGCACAGTAAATATTTCTTTTATATTTTCCATCTATACAAATTATGGTAGCAATTAGAGAGGTATGCAGCTGTGAATGTAAGGGGAAATTATCCATACTGCAAGAAGTGGGAGTCAAATGAATGCCAATGAGAGGGAGAGATCTGCACAAAACCAGGCTTTTCTTTACAATGACAGCAACATATAGGGAGAAAAATATAATTAAGAAAATATATACCATTTAAATCAGCAAAATCTACAGTGCCTCCTGAACATTCAAATTCAAGGGCTCACGTTTTACTGATCATTTTGTGTTGTGTCTTCCTTCCCAAGATGATAATGTTGAAACCAGACTGAATCAGAACGGTTTATGGAACAATTCAAGAGGTAGGCTGACAGTTCTCATACTCCAAGTTATAAATGATCATGCAATAGGATAGGGAGAAACATTATGTTTTCTTTAAAATTCTAATCAAAATACAGAAAGAATAACACAGATCCTCACAGTTTCCACTAAATACCTCTCTGGCAGCTTGSTACTTCGTTATTTATCATTGTCCACTTTTTTTTATGGTAATAGTTGACATCAGATTATTACTGACCTGATTGGTATTTGAATTTATTCCCTAGAAGTTAAATACTTTGCAGTTTCATGCTCGGTCCTCTTTAAAATTCATAATTTTGGAGCATGGAAAATATATTGTTCTGTCAGGTTTATTTCTCTGACATTTATTGGTGGAAAGTGTGATGCTAATATTAAATGCATTTGATTTTAACATCAGGATACAGATAATTTTTCTCACTAGTCTTCCCTAAAGCAGGTCATTTTATCATTACATTTCCCCTAGCTGGTGTCTGGGAATTTCATATGTTGAATAGAATAATTATTTGAACCCATACTTGTTTCTAAAGGGTATGTGAGTGATAATAAATGCCCCAATCCAGTTGTGTCAGAAGATATCTGAATTTCATTCTGCCAATATCCAGAAGTTGGTCCAATACAGAGTATTAATAGTATTGTGTGAAAAGCAGTAACAGTGGCTTTTACTGCAGCACATCTCTCCATTATATGTTGTATTAAATTTAAACACAATTATTGAATGCCTTTGTGAGGGTAAACACTTTCTGATGTCTCCTTCTGTTAAAGTTGTAATATCCCTTCTAACCAAAGGGCAGTGTAAGAATTTGCACTTGCTCAGCGTGTTTCCCAAATTATCTCATTAATATTGCTACCAGAACCAATTGGGCTGTCACAGTGAGGGTCAGTACTAGTTGGTGAATTATGGTGTGAGGCCAATAGAACTAAGCATAGCCTGATGACAGGTAAATTGATGCAACTCGTTAATGAGATGCTCTTAAGGAATCCTTCTGTGTGAAAATACAGGCTTTTTTTTTTCCTCTCTCAAAAAATGACTTTCTACCTATGAAGGACAAATACAAAAACTCTTTGGAAAATTTCATAAACAAGCTGTTGACAGTTCAAGGTACAATAAAGGTTTCCTCCTTTATCACATAGACATTGAAAGTACTGCCAAGTAGCATCTAGAGTTTATAAATCATTGGTGAGAATGGATAACTTGAAAATATTACACAGGAAATGGTGTAGGACATGGGGCACTTAAAGCAGTTTTTGTTTAGGGCCTGCTGCATTTAAAGTGGTGACTTCTGTTTCCATTAATTCACATCTCTAATTAGGAAATAGATTGATTTTTGTTTAACATCGTTAGAGACTGGCTGGTGTCCATGGTAGATCAGAAGTGCGCATACAAATGAAGTGCTAAAAGTGACCACTCTATAAGTTTGAATAAATRTAAATTAAGTGAAAGCTGTGGACTGAATTTTGCAGACAGAAAACAATGTATTTCAGTCTTGTATTTATAGAAAGATACCACCTTTCTGGAAGATAAATTTTAGAACTTTTGCATTTTACTGATAAGAAATTATTTGCACACAGTAAAAAAAAGTCATTCAGAGCCTTGGTCAAAATAGTTCTCCAACTCAGGAGAATTTGGCACAAGGAAAAGTAAGATTCCCTGCTGAAAACATCCCMTACTCTTGTTACAGACAAGTGCTTATAAAGAATCGATTTTGCACTATCAAAATAAGAGAATGACTAACAGGTAGCTGTTGTTACTCCACTTTGTTGTAGGAAAATGGCAATTAGATGCATTTTCACTAAGCTTCAGGGTGAAGAAGAAAGGACTAAAGAACTTTCGTGAGTAAAGATAAACTGTCTCATATCTTGCCCTTAGTCACGCTATGACTTCTTTAGCTAAGTATAATTTTATCTCTGTCAGACTTGATAAGTACCTGGGGGAGAAACATCCAATGAACAACCAGSTTGTGAATAGTGGGGTTTTTTATTATTTTTTTATGCCCAGCTTTTTGTACATGTGTCGCTCCTGTGTTTTGCTAGAAAGCGCTATATTCCTGGGGAAAGGTGGCCCTTAGGATGAGACTTAAACCAGTAATTACCACTTGTGCTTGTGAAGCAGCCACAGCTGTTTCTGAGGGCTGGCAATAGGCTCAGTGCATACAGTGCAAATGCTAGGTTCTTGTTAGCATGATTACACTCTAGCTTCCTAGTTTTTCTTTCCTTTTGAGAAATAATCTTACTGTGTCCTGATATGCTGTTAAATAGCAACGTGCACCTTCCCACGTCTGGCTGCGTTTTAATGCAAACAGGGTATATATGTTGTRGAATGCTTTGTGAGTCCCTTCTCCTTATAGTTGAATATAGTTAAGTAAACGGGAGATACGAAGCAGAGTGCAAGTTAAATACGGGCATTAAGGATGGAGTGGTGACTGACTATACAACAGTATGGATTGGATCTGAATATCTAAATCATGTCTGTTTTAAGAGTCTGGACTGTTTTTGTCTGGATAGAGTCAGTGCTGCAGCTGCAGCATGAGAAATTTCTAATATCTAATCCTCTTGCCTTCATTCATTACAGGGGCACACAGTGTGTTTTTTAACATGATCTGCATTCTCATATACCTGTCTGCATACATGGCTTTATTTTATTTTGTTGTCATGAAAGTGCCCTTAAGGAGACCCTTCCTTTAAATATTTGGTATTTCAGACCAGTGACCAGCATTGCACTTGTGAGCATTAGTCCTTTCCCTTAGAGGGACAGGTTGAAATTGTTTCCAAACATGACATTAATTCACCTGAAAGAAGTGAACTCAGAACCTCCTATGGTACATGTTTGAAATTTTCTTCATGTTCTTTTCTCTTTTTATTATTTTTACTTGATGATGTCTCTGTAGACTGTCCTGAACAACTTGCAGCATGTTGCTGTGAGGAGAGCTTTCTAAGGGAAAGGCCAATTCCTCATGCACTCTCCACAGATCAATGCTAGTGTTATTAATCAGTTTTCTTAAATAATAAGTTGACTCTTTTGGGAACCTGTCAGAATTTATTTCAAACTGATGAGTCATTTTGAGACTTCAAAAAATCCCCTCATTTAGAAATTGCAGACATTCATATTAACACTTTAATTGGACATGTATCCTGCTACGTGTAAAAACACTATTTATTTAGTTTTAAGATGGCTTTTATAATGCCAATCATTGTGTTATTGAAGCATATCACAGACGCTGTAAATCACATCTGGAAGTTCTTTCTGTTTTTCTTCTAACTATTGATGGAATATTATTACTACTGGAGAAGATGGAATTATTTTATAGTGTTGTTTTGTTTTTTTAGAAGACAGTCTTTGTACTCTCTTTTGAAGCTGGACTTATTTCTGTGAAATCTAATGGTCCTGGAAGAAGGTGAGCCAGTGCTGGCACTGAGCCTTTCATTGCTGGCTGAGTGATATCAGGTAATCATATTTACAGAGGAGGAGCTTCTCAGTTTTCTGGGACTGTTTGACAACTCCGTAAATTGACACTAATCTTAAAATTTGGCAACCAGTTTGTTCCATTGTGCCATTGTGT